TGCTAATTGACAGCAATTGCAAAGGCGCTTGGCATGCATTGCATGTCGTCGGCGCGAGACTTCCCAAACCCATAAATTGTTTATAGCTAGGATGGATCAGGTGGGCCGGGGGATCGGATCGGGAATAAGCATACATATATACATATCTGCCACTTTACACTCGCTCTTCGAGGCAGCTGAAGTCTTTGCCCCGTTTTGTTGCGTTGGCGTTGATGTTTTGCCGACTTCGCGGCCGGTTGACAAATGTGCCAGCCACATGCGCCGCTTAACTAAACACTAAACTCAAAGTGTCTGCCCGGCCGGCTGGGATTAATTCTGGATAATCGTAGAGGCGATGAGGTGGGGACTTAACTATCAAGTTTCTACCTACCTCGAAGCCGCCCAATCAAACTTTAACAAATTGCAATGGTTAAAGAATAAAAAGAAAAGAATTGTATGAGAAAGTTTAGACATTTGTTTATAGTTCAACTAAGTACGTATAACATTTCCCAAAATTCTGAAAGCAGAAAAAATAAAAATCAAGGTAAATAATTTTCCAAAGCATACTTTTAGGAACTGGTTTTGGGCGTTTTGAAATCTCAACCGAATTTTATTACGGATCAACAAACTATGAAACACTTTTATTATATTTGTAGCATTGTTTATTATTTTTATTTCTTAATTTAAACAATTATTTTTAAGAAAGTTAATATTCATATTAATACAGAGAGTATATTTAACTGCGGTTCCTTAAATCTACTTCACTCTGCCACTGGTTTTGTTCAACTGATTTATTAAATGGTTCTGCTGAATGCGAATGGTAGAGACTGAATGACTGTCCCTTCGATTATGAAAGAGCAGTTATAGACTGATTAGCAAATCGATGGATTGAAATGGTTAACGGATATTGAATTAACGACTCATGCCAGCCATCCGCAGTTTGTGCCCCGAGTCCCTTGGCCGTCCTAACTGATACTAATGCAGATACCACAGTAGTCGCCACAAAATGAAGCCATTCCCCCGCTGAAATCCCCCTTTCAGAGCCCTTTGGAAAACCACAAGCGTCCACAGCTGCCGTGGAATGGCCCAAGGCGAAGTGGCAACGTGCGAGGGACTCGCGACTGTCAAATTAAATTAATAAACACAACAATTGGCAGAGGCGAAACGGAGTCCTGCGAGTCCCGGCCAACTGTCCACTCCCACATTTTCGAAGGGGGAGGAGACTGTCGGCAATTGTAAATGAAATTTTTATCAAATTGAGTTTCGGGCAACGGCACTGCGGCAAAGACTCAACTTTTGGCATGCCCCCGGCTGTAACGATCCCCCCTTCGATTCTCCCATTTCGATCCCCCCTTTGCCTGTCTCATGCCAGAGCATTTTGTATTAATTACAACATAGCCAGCGGTATTGGCGCTCAAAAAAGTTTCAACATAATTGATTTCATTTCATTTTTATTCGCGCTTTCTCCGCCGGCCAGCAAAAGCAACAGCAACACCCAGCAACTGCGACTTTTCTACCGATTCCTGCATTAAAGTGCAAATAAGTTGATTGAATTATTGGCTGGCCGAGAAGATGCGTCCTCTGTGCAGAAATTTACTTTTTAATTTACTCAGAAAGCCGAGTAAAAAGAAAAACAATTGGTGCGGCTTAGTGGCGTTTTTTCATCTATGGACCTTTTCGTGCCCATTATTTTTAAATATTCTACTGTTTGTAAAATATTTATAACTTAATTTTAAATTTTTCCAAAGATAGGAGAAGCCTGAAAATGTTTCTTCATTTTTAGAACGATTTTTAAATGATATTTAAAATTATTCTACTGTTTGTAAAATATTTCTTACTAAAATACCACAAAAAAGCTTAGCTTTTCTGAGTTTATCTAGAAACATATATATTTGTACGACTCAATTTCATACAGGGTATATAAGCAAATGGCCACCAGATTGGTTTTATTTTGTGTGAGTTTTTACAGGATTTTTTTCGGTGGGTCTGGGCGCTATAGCATTCTGCTATCATTGTCCTGCGGCAGTGCGTTTGGTTGGATATTTCTTTTTGCACATCCACTTGCACATCCACAGATTGAGTTACGCCCGCTTGTCCTTTGCAACTGGCAGTCCTTGGTGTCCTTGTCGTCGCCCATCAGTCGCACTCCTGCGAATCGGATTCTCGCCCTGGATCCTGGCGATGGCAATGACGATGACGATGGCCATGGCCGTGAACAGGACATCAGCCACCTCCTTTGGCCAGCACTTGGTTATTGAAAAATCGGATATTGCGTATTTTTTAATTATGAACGAAAAGACTGGATATTAAGTCCCATTTGGATTTAAATTTAATTAAACTTCACTTTGGGCTTGTGGCCTTTTTCCTTGGTCTTTGAGGGATTGCAGAACCGAAAGCCACATTCGGAATTTTAAGCATTAAATAAACTTTAAAGGCGATGGCAGGGTTATCACCCATCCCCCGATTCCAAACTGAGAATTCCTCCTAATTCCCAGAACTTGTGCATACATGCAGAAATATTTTAACCCGCTCGAGCAGTGCAAAGTCCGTTGAACAAATAAACTTGAAAATACATATCATAAATGCATAGTTTTCGTTTCGTTCTTTTTTCGGTGCGACTGCCAGACTTTGCTATTCATGTTTGGCCAGACGCTCGAAGGACCAGGAAAAGGAGCCGGGGACCAAGGGACAATGGCAAGGACAAGCTGCTGCTGCTGCTCCTGATTTGGATTCGGATTCTGCTTCTTTGGATGCCACTGCAGTGGCAAGCTCAAAATTTTAATGATATCAAATACATACAAAGGCACATGTGTGTATCCCGGGCACAATGCAGTCGGCATTAAGTGGAAAAGGATGCGGCAAAGGATATATTCACCAACACACTTACTAAAAGAGAGGCGGCCAGACATGCATGCGTAGATTTTATGTATTTGGCTCACGATTTAAGCTGCCGAGGAAAAGGAGAAGTGGCAGTCTTCGCTGCGGCATAAAATCCGACAATGCCAGGGTGTCCTTCCTACCCACAGGATATGCGCCAAGCCTTCAGCCAAATTCAGCCCACAATCAAGCCAGCCCGAAATGATGATACTTAATTCCAAGCAGCCTCTTTTTTCAGCACCGTTCCTATTTAATAAACTGCATGCAGTTTTCCGCTCTCTCTTTTTGCTCCATCTCTCTGGGGGAAATGCAAATGAAACTGCAAGGATGAAGCAGGAGCCGCGGAGAACCAGCTGCACCGCAGGAGTCTAGAGTCTAGACCTTGACGGCCACATCGCCATCGTCCTTGTGTCGGCGGTGTCGACTCCGATAAGCATACGCCCTGTGGGACGCGCCAGATATTATAATACGTGGCCATTATCCCGGCTCTGCCGGCGATAAATCACACCGGGACATCTTTGTGTGCCAGCAGCAGACGCAACACCATTGCAGACCACCAGCAGTCTAAGAGCACTGAGAGAAAAGTTCAATTAAAATGCAGAAAATAATATTTTATGATTTAAGGAATCTTAAGTTGTCACTCTTAATAATTCTAAAAATAATAATAAATAGTAAATCCCTAAAAAATATATTTCCAATTTTTTTTTGCATTATAGTTTAACGATTTTTCTCTAAGTGTAAGACCAAAACCCATTGAAAAGGTTGCCCTGGAAACTGGAGCAGTTGGAGTCCGCCGAGCAGACGTTTGCCTGGCCATATCTGAGTCGCTGCATCGCGGGCACGCTCATAAAATGTTGCGCCTGCTCACACCCCGGAATCAGATCTTCCAGTTCCACTGCCACTACCACCAAGTTCCTCAACCCCCTCCCCTGGGTCGACAAATTTGCTTAGAATTTGAAATGCAAGCCAGACAATGGTCGCAGACATTCAGCGGGGACAGACGAAATGAGGATGCGCTGGGTTTGAAAAAGAAATAAAAGCTGCCCAGCGGAGATGTGCAGGGTTTGTTAGTCGGGATCTGCATTATTATTATTATTACAGTCGCAAGTTCAAGTTCATGGTTGACTCTTTTCTGCTCTCGAAATGGAGACCACTCATAATGGGGGATTGAGAGACTGCCGGATAAGAAAGAGGGGTATATCATTTGATAAGGCAGCTGTGGTCTTCGGGCTTTTATAGTAAAAATCGTTTTTAGTTTACTTGATATTGCTTTAATGTTTATAAATTTAAATTCAAACTAAAGAGTGACTGAAAATTTTTATCACTAGTTGGAATTTCCATAAATACAACCCATAACTAAGTTTCCTATCCCTTTGATACCATGATTGGCCCTTTCGGGAACACCCAGTTCATCTTGTCACAATGCCAAACTCATCGTTTCATCGGTTCCACTGTGCTGTTGCCTCTGTGAAACTTTTGAATAATTCCGTGGACATTCGGCAGCATGCTCCATTGGCGCCGCGCCCTGAATGCACCGATCCCTGCACCCCATCCGCATCCGCATCCACATCCGCATCTGTATCTGGACCTCGTGCCCCTCCCAGTAAACCGGGACCGTTTTATGGCCATGTCCGTGTCTGCTGTCTGCTCTCGTGGCCTTCAGACGCTCATAAACATGCGACACAAGTTGGACACTGGCAGCGGAGCATCCGCGGATGTGAGGACTGCGACTGGGATTTGGGGGTTCTAATGTGCTGGGCGTGGCTTTGCATTTATTCGTGTGTAAAATTTTAATTGAAATATATATTTTAGCAGGGAAGAGGCAACGGCGACGAATGTCATTTGTATCTGTAGCTGTATCTGCATCTCTCAGATGCGGATGTGGATGCGGATGCGCGTGTGCCTCGCTAATGTTTTCATTTGCATGCGAAGGACATCAGCCCGGAAGCGTGTTTATATGCAAATGTGTCCTGTGATTATCGAGGCTGCGCTGAAATGTCTGTTCCTCCTCTTTGAATGGCCACGTCTGGGTGTTAACTATTTGTTTTTGTGCTCAGATTTTATGTTTCGGGATCCACGGGGCGTGTACTTTTGTCTGGCCATCAGCCCTCCCAAAAAAAAAGTAGAGAAAGAAACACTTTCTGTTGCTCTGTGAATTTTAAAGTTTACTTAAAGCTAGCTTTATGTGGCGGGCACATAGGACTGTCGACCTTTGGAGATGTCGAGGGGCAACTGAAAGACCATTGCATTGGCAACGGGTTTATTATTCCCATAGTTCTCCCCAACGGCACAGAGTGCTGAGTAGGTGGGATCCAAACGCTTGCAGGCACTTCCCGGTTTACTTGACATCCGGTAAATGGGTCGTTCCACGAAAATATCCGTACTAAAGGCGCAAACGAAGACGAAGCTGTGGGCGGAGTTCACGGTGAATCGCATTGCCGAACAGCCCACATGGGTATTTCGATCTGTCATAAGAAGAAGTGCCTTAGCTGTTCCACTGGAAAGAGATGAGTCGATGATTAACCATTATAAACCAAAGATTAATCTCACATTTTCTCCAATCTGGTCGGCATATAGAGAGTCATTTTCATATTGACAGAATCCGCATATTTGGTCCAGTCCTGAATGGTCCTCAGCATCAGTTCCAAATCCTCGTAGTCGTTCAAGCTGCCCAGATAATAGGTAGATCCCATATTGGTGCCCACATAGTAGAACTCCGGTGAGCTCAAACAAAACTTATGGGCGGAGCATGTGATGACCGCCATTCGGGCCAAATCCTCCAGATCCGTACTGTAACTTAGTCGGGACATCCGGGCAGCCGCTCCTTTGAGATACTTTTGCTTGCCACTCGCTGTATAGTTGCGAAACTCATTGAAGGCATTCAGCAGGACATTTCGGTATCTCGACATGGAAAGTGTCCTGGCATTCGGCGGACACATGACACTGTATTTCTAGGGGGAAATCATTTTAGTTGCATAGATCACCTATCTTATAAAAGGCTTACAGATGGATTATTACAGGCCAGGTTATTCGATCCGCAGTAGGGCATTTCACAAAAGTCTATAAACTCGCCCCATCCAAAGTGAAACCAGTTGAGCTGCACTATGAATATCAACCAATTTAGCTCCATTTCTGTTCAAAGACTGCTGGTTTTACTGGGAGAATAACGCCTATTTATTGGCCAGACATCTAACATATTTTACTAGAATATTCATTTCTTCCAAGAAGTAATTGTAAAAAAGCTGTGAATCCATTTTCCTCTTTAAGTAGATATAAGCATGGGTATATATTTCCCCTTCAACCGCTTCGATTAAAGCTGCCACATCCTCTGTGGAGTGTGTCAATCGAACAATGTCGTTAGGGATGTGCTCATTAAGTTCACAGCAGTTGGTGATATTTGAAAAATCCATTAGAGTCGCCTGTCCTTTAGCCATAACCGCAAGGCAACTGCTGCCCCTTCTCCTTCTGGCCAGCTCACACTTAACGCTCCGCGTGGCATACAATTTCTATACAACAATTTATGTTAAAATTAATGAAGAGCCCTTCGTGGCGGGGTGTGTCCGGGTGTTGAGGTGTTAAGCATTAAAAAGAGCCCCGGGCCGCGGAAAAATGTAAATTCCGAATGCCTGGAGCTTCCTTCTGTTGACCCAGGCTGTCTCGCAATGAATGTCATTTGGATTAAGCGTTGGATAAGTTTTTAATTTATTGTGCACACAATACACAGAATGTCGGCTAGTCTAGAGTCCAGAGTCCAGGTTAAGTGGGGGTGTAAGTGCGGGTTATCTGGACGTGCTTATCGGAGCGTTGCCATCGCGGCCACGTGCCGTGTCCCACGGTCAGGAAAGCGATTCCTACATCTACTACTCCTACTCCCACTTAGTTCAGCTTGAACTGGCTGGGCTCGGTTCCGGCGTGGAGGACCAGGTGCTCGGGGGTCATCGGGGCGGTGAGGGTGACCCACGATTTGGGAACGCCGGCGTCATCGCGAGCTGATTGCAGTGCCTGCTGCAGGGCAAAGGCCACCGCGATGGACAGACAGATGGCGGGTTCTCCGGTGGCTAAAAAAAGGGATTACCAGTTAGTTGGATTCTTAGTTTTTAGTTCTTAAACTAAACTCACCCTTGGACCTCATAAAGCCCGCTTTGTTAGGGACTCTTGGGCAGCAGTTCGATGCGCAGATCCGTGGGTATATCCTTGGCTCCCGGCGGCTTATACGTCCAGGTGCGATTCGTGAGGCACTCGCCCGTCTGGGGATCCACAATCACCTGTTCGCTGGTCCAGTAACCCAGTCCCATCATGAAAGCGCCCTCGATCTGGCCAATGTCCACATTGGGATTCAGACTCTCGCCAGTGTCCTCCAGGATGTCCACGCGACCCACAATGTAGTTGCCCGTTAGCACATCCAACTCAACCTCCGTGAGACAGAGACCGCACACCGAGTAGGGATCCATGTCGCCCTGTTTGCACTGATCGCTGGCTATCAGGTTGATCTTGCGGTTGTAGGCCTCCTTGATCAGATCCTGCCAGTTCTGTGGCTTAATCTCCTCCTTCAGAGGTTCCAGTCGCTGGTTGAGGGTCTCGCAGGCCTTGCGAACCGCAAAGCAGAGCGTCTCACTGCCCACTGCTCCTCCGGTGACCATGGAGTTGGCTCCATTGATGGTATCGCTGGCCTCGATGCGCACCTGCTCCATGGGAATGCCCAGGGTGTGGCCCACCACCTGCGAGATCTTGGTGTTCATGCCTGGAGGAAAAATATAGATTTATAAGAGTTAGATTGGAGTATTACATAATTATAAAACGATTAGAAGCCCAACTCAATCTGAACATAAAATTTCAAGTAAAATAGAAACAAAATCAAATCGTAAAATTAAACTAAAGTCAAAATAATAATAATTATCATAAAATATTAATGAATTTCCACGTAATAATACATGAAAATAATAAAAGTATCATATGTCTAATTCTAAACTGTAAGTAATAAGTAGACATCGGATTTTAGGTGAAATCGTTTTTTTTTTAAATACGATTTAAAGCCACATTTGATTATTATTTATTAAGTTATAATTAGATTTAAGCCAAACTTTATTGAGGTTTTTGTAAACAAAATTTTAACCAATCAAATGTGGCTTTAAATCATATTTAAAAATAAAACGATTGCACCTAAAATCCGATGTCTAGTAATAAGTAATAGTTTTAAGTCTTTTTTGTTCAAGTAAGCTTGCTTTTTAGAATCAATGTGACTAGTGCTAGAAATACAAATGTAATCATGATGTGCCAGGATAATAATAATAAGTAAATAAATAATTTTAGTACACCCACCTTGACCCATTTCGATGCCTCCGTGGGAGACAACCACCGTTCCGTCACTGTGATAAATAGCCACCGTGGCGGGATACTGGCCAAAGTAGCCGATCTGGTACTCCATGATGCACAGACCCAATCCGCGCTTGTGCCAGCGGTTCTCCTTGTTGTGCTGAATGACCGCCGTCCTGCGCTCCTTGTACTTGGTGCTCTCGAGGAAGCGGGGCATCATGTCGCCCATCTTGTGGGCGGGCAGCAGGTTGGCATATCGCACATCCACCGGATCCAGTCCGGTCTCAAAAGCAATGTGCTCGATCATGTTCTCCATCATGGCGATGCCCTCCACGGAACCGGGAGCTCGGCAAGGAGTGTTCGAGGGCGAATCCGAGTAGACCAGGAAGCCATCCAGCTTGTAGTTTTCACTGAACTCGTAGCAATTCTTGGACAGCAAGACGGTGTGGCCAATGGGGGATTCGTTGGATAGGTAGCCTGCATCCTCGTAGAATCGGCTGACTATTCCCGAGATCTTGCCGGATTTCTGGACAAAGAAGTCGTAGTCGCAGTGGAAGGCCCAACGCTTGCCCAAAGTGGTCATGATGGATTCCAAAGATTGGACAAATCGAATAGGTCTATTGAGCTTGTGGGCAGCCACAGCGGCAGCGGCGGCGGCCAAGTTGCCCCTGGTGGCCTTGCCACCGTAGCCTCCTCCAATGCGACGCGTCTTCACCTGCACCTCGTTGCTCTTGACATTCAGCACATTGGCGATGCAGTCCTGGGTGAGATCCATCCACTGGGTGGCCGCATAGACCTGCATTCCTCCTTCGAAGGGCAGAACCACCGTGGTCTGCGGCTCCATGTAGTAGTGGTACTGCAGTCCCATGTCCAACTGACCCGAAGAGCTCACATCGAAGGGTTCTTCCAGCTCCAGCTTATCGATGGTCGACTTGACCTTCTGCTCCAATCGGTTATTACTGCCCGCCTCGGAACCCAGCTTCTCCAGCACGTGCTTCATGCTGGGCAGCAGTTCCTCTGCTCCACCCTCGTAGCTCAGCTTCACCAGCTCGGCAGCCCGATTCGCCAGAGAATTTGAGTTGGCCAGGATCACCCCCACGGGTTGGCCAAAGAACTGGATGGCTCCGGTGGCGAAGAGCTGCTCGTCCTGCTCGAAAAAGAACTCATCCCTTATCTTGGGTCCAATGTAGTTGTGTCCCGGAATGTCCTTGGCGTCCAAAAAACAGACTACCCCGGGCAGATCCAGAGCTGGCTGGGGATCCACTTTGGTCACCGTGGCGCCCACCTTCTTGGCGGTTACGAAGGCCGCCCACAACTGGTTGTGCTGGGTGGGCAGATCGTTGGCATAGGTGGCTTCGCCGGAGCACTGAATGAGACCCTCGTGCTTCTCCGTGGCCTTGGTCACCGGGTAGTGCTCCTGGAAGGTCTCGAAGCTCTGCTGGCCACTGGACACGGGACGTTTGAGTAGTGAGCCTCCTGAAACAAATCGACTGGCCAATCCCTGCTTCCTCTCAGCTGCCACCTTTAAGAGGAACTTGTAGAAGAGACCGCAGGCCAACTTGCGACGGTAAATGGGCGAGGCATCCGGGAGAACTGCATCGGGTTGGAGCAGGCTAGACAGCTGGCCAAAGGCCTTCTCCACCAAGCCATTCTCAAAAAGATTCTTTCCCTGGATCAACTGCTCGATGGCTGTGGCATGAACGAATTCCGGGTGGATTCCACCGAAGCAAAGGCGGGATGACTTCACCTTGGAGTCGCCAGTGAATTCCACGAGGAAGGCAGCGTTCACATAGGCATGGGCATTCTGGGCACGGGGCATGATCTGAACGAAAAATATATTCAATTTATCAGTTATTCTGTGTTTCATTTTGCATTAAGGAGTATCTACAAGCCATTAAAAATGTCTCGTTGATAATAATATACCTCTTGAATGCACTATTACTGATAAGAAATGATATCGTTTTTGCGTTTTACTTTGTATAAATTACAGTGAGTACTCACCTTGTAAGAGTCAAATGCGAAACGCTCCTTGGGATAAGCGGACAGCTCTATACCGCGAATAATCTTACCCTCCATGGAGGAACTCAGATAGCTGGCCAGGCTCACAGTCTGCTGCTTGTCCAAAGCCTCCTGGACAATCACCCGGGCATCGAGGGCCTCCAGGACGATGAACACGTCCGACGGGAACTCCGGGTGGGCATGCTTGATGGTCAGGTTGCCCGCCAAGGTGCCGGCCTGGGTTAATGCGAAATGGGTTGATAAAAAATAGTCGTGCCAGGTACTCAAGGTATTTTCAAAAGGGTGATTAGATAAGGAGGTCTTACAGGTGATAAGACCCCTCCGATTCGACTTACATTGCGCACTGGAACATTGGCGATCCAATCGAGATGTTGCCACACCTGTGACAAATACTCGAAACCCTTGGTCTTCTCCAACTGGCGGCACAGCTCCATGGTTTCGCTGAGGCTCAGGTTTCCACCGAGGGTTAGGGTGGAGTTATCTGCACTCAGCTGGTGACCCTTGAGCTCAGCCAGGCCGGAAACATCGATGAATGCCTTGATGTTATGAGGACGTCGGTAGACTCCATGGGCAGTATTGCCAGCCACCAGCATGTAGGGTAGCTTTTCTTTAACAGCTCCCTGAAGAACGGCAAAGAGCTCACCCAGATTCTCCGGCCAACTCCAGCGACTTCCATCCGGATACAGTTGACTGCCCTTCGGTTGCTGCTTCTTGCAACTTCCCGAGCAGGTTTGACCCGTCTTGGGACACTGCTTCGTGCTCAGATCCTCGATATCAATACACTCGGCAGGCACCTGGATATTGCTGTCCACGGCAAAGGACTTCATGGCATCCAGGATGGGTCGATAGCCGGTGCAGCGGCAGATGTTGCCTCCAAAGGAGTTCTCCACCTCCGCCATGGTCACCTTGCCGCCCTTGGACTTCAGCAGCCCGTACATGTTCATCACGAATCCCGGCGAGCAGTAGCCGCACTGGGTGCCATTCATCTTGGCCAGTCGCTGCTGGATGGCATGGTAGCCCGTCCTCTTGTTGCCCAATCCCTCCGAGGTGGTCACCTCCAGACCCAAACAGGTGTTCAGCAGGGTGAGGCACGAGTTCACCGCCCAGGTGCGTGGTTCTCCCGTCTCCGGATGCAGACCACTCAGGGTGCAGACGCAGACGCCGCATCCGCCCTCCTGGCACATGAACTTCGTGCCCGTCAAACCGGCGTGCTCCCGGATGAACGAGTTCAGCGAGATATCCGCCGGCAGAGCAGCCAGATTAACTAAAGGGGGTAGCAAATATAACGGGGTAATCAGTGGTTATATAGGCGAGGGGTTATCTTATCGGGCCGTTTAAAGCGTCACAACTTGTCAAAAAAATGTTTGTTAACATCTACTGATCGTAAACGAACGACTTCTGTCTTCCGGACATTTTGCCAATACTATTAATCTAAATCAGATAAATATTTGGAAGGAAATGTAATACAATTCAATTCTTGGTACTGAAATTGTTACTCAATAGAATCAAAATGAATTAGGTAACTTTACCCTGTAAACAAACATTTTACAGAATTCTACGTCGTTTTCAATTCATTTTCAGGTAACTTAGGTGCTGGCTCAAAGTCCAATTTCTTAGGACCAAGTTCTCATAGACAAAGATTTAAAGTTATTACTCTATTATCATGATTACTGTCGTTAAGTAAGAAAGTTGGAACACCATGACAATCCATTTCTTTCCTAGAATTCTGAAGGTCATATAAATTTTACTAATTTTCCAAATACAAAATTAACCTAACTGGTAGATATTTTTAGACTGGCGTTCCAGTTCGTTGTCTCTAGAATTTTTCAGATGTCAGCCCCCCATCAATCTAGTGGCAATTAACTGCCCACACACGCAAATACACACCTTCGTGGCTGGTGCCGTTGATTGTAATACTTCCAGCCATTATCTGCGCCTTATATAAGTCCTCGAATCACTTGAAAGCCCTCAGTGGATCGTTGTGAAATTATTTGCAGCCTTTCTCGCCTTCAATTGACGCCAGTGTTCCAAAAAATATTGGATGGTAGTGGGTTCTGGAAACTATGTTTGTTATTTCACCATATGAGGCAAACGGGTCCACTTGTTCGGTGCGATTTCCTCGCCGATCTCCGAGCGACTGTGAGCTAGGGCCTTCCGGAGACCCATATATATTCGTTCTCCGGTTCCCCAATCCCCGAAAGAGATTCCGCCCAAGTTCAAGTTCACCTGCTCCCGCTCTTAACTACCATGCTCTCCCTTCCGCTCACCATTCGGCATTAGATCATAATAGCACTCTGAAAACGTTATCTCACGCCCGTTTCTAATTACTCTCACTCTCTTGAATCGGAGAGCTTTATCAGTAAACCGCTTGTTTGGACTATTTTGTTTTGCTCAGATTTCTAAACAAAAAAATGTTTTTGATATTATGGTTCGGAATGGGGGAATAGGGAGTAACTGAAATGTGGAGAGTCGAAAGCTTTCCTTATAAACATAGTTTCTTAGAAATATTTCCGTATTAATGTCGAGTGAATTTCATTACAATTTAATGGTTTAATAAGATTAATGTTTTTATTAGTATGAAATGAAAATAATATGGAGCAAAGAACAAAATCGATTAAAAACGAATTAAAATATTTCAATTCACCATTTAATATTAAAACCTAACCCAAAATGAATACAAAAGTACCTAATTATTGCAAAGCGAAAGTTTCCACCTGGCTTCCGGAGTTCAGGACAACAGTCTCCGGCGTTGTTGGTGCCCCCAATCGGACCCACTCCCTGGGAAGACCCGCATCCTTCCTGGCCGTCTGGATGGCGTGCTGCATGGCGAAGAGAACCCCGACAGCCAGGCACAAAGCCGGCTCCCCAGTGGCCTTGGATCGCATAAAGCCCACTGGGATTTGGGACTCTTCTGCAGGAGCTCGATGCGAAAGTCGATGGGGATGTCCTTGGCCCCGGGGGGATGGTAGTTCCAGGTGCGGTTCGTCAGGATCTGTCCCGTTTGTCGATCATAAACTAGCTGCTCGGTGAGATAGTAGCCCAGGCCCATCACAAAGGCTCCCTCCACCTGACCCACATCGATGTGTGGACTGAGGCTCTCCCCGCATCCTCCAGGATGTCCACCCTTCGGATGAGGTGGTTGCCCGTCAGGATGTCCAGCTCCAGTTCGGTGAGGCTCAGGCCGTAGATGTTGTAGTTGGGAATGTCCCCCAGCTTATACGACTCCGTGGCGATGAGGAAGACGGACTGCAAGTATGCCGCCTGGAGCACCTGCACCCAGGTGGCCCGAGGACCCAGTCGCTCCTTCACCGGAGCCAGTCGCTGGTTCAGAGTGTCGCAGGCTTTCCTAACCGCCAGTCCGATCATCTCGCTGGTCATCGAGTTGGCCGTCAGCATGGAGTTGGCTCCACTCACCGTGTTGCTGGCCTCCACTCGCACCTGTTCCAGGGGAACTCCGAGCACAAGGGCCGCTACCTGGGCTGCCTTAGTATTCACTCCCTGACCGATCTCAATTCCTCCATGGGAGATCACCACCGATCCATCCTCGTGGTAAATGGCCACCGTAACGGGGTAATTAAAGGCCACCGTCGTGTTTAAAGGGAAGCTCATGAGGGCCAATCCCAGACCTCGTTTGCGCCATCTATTTTGCGAGTTGAACAAATTTATCTGTTCTCGCCTTTTACGGTACTCCGTGGTGGCCAGAAACTTGGGAAGCAGCTGCACCATTTTGGTTCCCGGCTGAAGATTCACCAAGCGGACATCGGCGGGATCTAGCTGGCAGGTAAAGGCAATGTGCTCCAAGGCGGTTTCTGTCATGGCGATTCCTGTGAAGGGGATACACTTATTATTTTTATATATTTATATTTGAAAATAGGTTTCAACTTACCCTCTGCGGATCCAGGAGCTCGACACCAAGTGGAACTGGGGGCATCTGTTCTGATGGCGTTGCCTTGCGCTCGATAGTTCGAGTCCGTCAGGTTGTAAACATTTCGCAGGATTGGCAGCGTTAGGAAGTCCACCACATTCTCATTTAGATTACAGCCGGAATCCTCATAGTAATTGTTGCTCAACATGATGATCGATCCATTGGCACGAGCTCGGAACTCGTAATCCGATCGGCAGGCCCATCGTTTGCCCAGGGTCTCCATCATGGATTCGATGGTCTGGACAAATCTGGCGGGTCTCCTCAGCTTGGAAGCTACCAAGGCGGCGGCACAGGCCACCAAATTGCACCTGGTGACCTTGGCGCCATAGGCTCCACCCACTCGTCTCACCTGCAGCTGAACGGAGTTCACACTCACGCGCAGCATGTGGGCAATGGCTCCCTGGGTGGCGTCCATCCACTGGGTGGCACAGTAAACCTGCAGGATGTCATCCAAAGGCACCACAATCGTCGTTTGTGGTTCCATGGTAAAGTGGTATTGCGATTCTAGTTCCAGGATCCCCCTTCCAAGGACATCGCCAGGCGCAAGTGGAGGTAGCTTTAGGGGTTCCACCAGTTCCTTCTTTTGGCTCACTATGCGATCGGTTTGCTTCTCCGCCAGCACTTGGTTCATTGTCGTGTAGATCTTCCGCTGATCCCTGGCGTAGGTAACCACCACCAAAGTGGCAGCATAGACAGCTGCATCATGGGTGAGGGCAGCAATCACTCCCAGCGGCTGATCATAGTACTTGACCCGCCCGGCAGCAAAGACCTCGTCCACCTCGGGGGTAAACTGATCCACTAGAACAAAGTTGTTGGAGCCTGGAATATCCTTGGCGGAGTAAAAGGCCACCACCCCCTTGCAATTAAGAGCAGCGGAAGGATCTATCTGCTCAATGGTGGCACCTACTCGTTTAGCCGTTACAAAAGCACAATGAACGGCATTCGAGGTGGTCAGCAGATCGTTCATATAGGTGGCCTCTCCAGAACATTGAATAAGACCTTAAAAATATAATAATAAGATAAGGAAATAGAAAGTTTTTAGAAAGTTGTTGGTGTTACCCTTCTAACTTCTGTACTGGTTGAGTCACTGGATAGTTCTTTTTGATGGTCTCGAAGGATTGGCTGCCCGATGAAAGGGGTCTCTCGAAAAGCAAACCTCCAGTGCGATATTTTTCCCGAACCCTTTCCTTGGGTGCAGTGGCCAACAGGAACTTGTATAGCAAGGGAGCAGGCCAGGATCTGTCGATATTCCGGAGAGGCTTCCGGTGGACGTTCCTCGGGTTGTAGGCTAGCTGGAAGCTGTTGAAAGATCTGAGAAACTGTGGCGGGATCATAAAGATCCCTGCCCGGAAGTAGGTTCTCTATGGTTTCATCGTGTATGTAATCTGGCCGAATGTTTCCAAAACAAATTCGAGCAGAGCGCACAATCCTGCGCTGAATATCCTGCCATTCGATGAGGAATCCCGCATTCACATAGGCATGAACATTCTGAGCTCTTGGCAGGATCTGTTATTGTACAAAAGAAATTATAAAAATATTTTGCAATTTTTGCGTATTAATTTATCCACCTTGTAAGATCTGAATAGATATCTGTCCTTTGGATAGGCTTTTAGGATAAAGCCACCCAGCACCAGTTTGGAGGTCGTATCGCTGAGATAGGACAGCAGACTCATCACCCTTTGGCTACTGGGATTGTCGTAGACCAGGACATGCACATCCAAAGCCTCAAAAGTGATGAACACATCGGAGGGAAATTCGAAGTGCTGTTTCTTGATGCTAATGTTGCCCGCCAAAGTGCCATTCTGTAAAATAAAGAAAAAATACTAGTTAATTAAGGTAAAATTCTAAAAGTAATTCTGTATATTTTTAAAGTAATACAGTTATTTGATAAAAAATGTCTATTATAAAATGTAATAATTTTTTTTCTCAGTGTTGTTAGCTACTTAAATTGATTTACTATCTTTCTTATGAAAGAGAAATGGGGTTTTAAGCTAAAATGTACACTAACTAAAGAGTTGCTAAGTTTTAGCAGAAACTTTGGGGTATAAAAAGTAACAATGCTTTAGAATTAAAAGAGGAAAATAACTTACTAAGTACTAATCAAACTTTTGCTTAAAATAATTTTAAAATTTAAATAACTTTTTAATTAAATTTAAAGATAAATCTGGTAAGAAAGAACATTCAAAGGCCAAGATTACTACTATTTTCGCTTATCTTCGTCTTTGTCAAGCGCTAAAAACGAGTTTGTGGATTTATGGCGTGCTCTACTCACATTTCGCACCGGCACATTGGCAATCAGGTTGAAGTGCTGCCACAACTGGACGCAATACTCGAATCCGGGCCTCTTGGCGGCCAGCAGGAAAACCTGCATGGCATCCGTGAGAGTCATGTTCCCTCCCAGAAGCAGATGATCCGCCTCGATGCTGTACTGCCTCAGTTCCGGCACCATGTTCACATCGATAAAGTGCCGGATGTCCCTGGGTCGCCTGTAGACTCCATGGGCGGTGTTCCCGGCCACCAGCATGTAGAGATCTCCATTTCCAACTTGGGCAAGGGCGGAGAACAGCTCCGCCAGGGACTTGGGCCAATACCAGCTGCTTCCCCCTTGATCTCCAACCCCCCGAGGAGGTCTCGAGCAGCTGCCCCTGCAGGATTGCCCAGTTCGTGGGCAGAGCAGCTCGAAGGAGTCCTCGATGTCCACGCACTCGGAAGGCACCTCTATGCAGCTGTCCACGGCGAAGGACTTCATGGCATCCAATATCGGACGATAGCCAGTGCAGCGGCACAGGTTTCCCCCGAAGGCATCCTCCACCTGCGACATGCTCACCTGTCCACGATGCTGCTCCAGCAATCCATACATGTTCATCACAAATCCAGGTGAGCAGTAGCCGCACTGGGTGCCATTCATCTGGGCCAGGCGCTTTTGAATCGGATGGTAACCACTCAGCTGGTTGCCCAGTCCCTCATCCGTCATGATCTCCACATCGTCACAGGTGTTCAGCAGCGTCAGGCACTGTTAAATGCCATTTAAAAGATTTTTTAGTTTTTTAATTTAATTATTTTCCAGCGGAAAGCATTTGGTTGTGGAGAAAGCGACTTCTTACCGAGTTGGCTGCCCGGGATTGGACCTCCTGGGTGACTGGGTGTCTCCTGCGGATGACGCAGACGCAGGAGCCACATCCTCCCTCCAAACACATGTACTTGGTGGCCGTCAAATGCAGGTGCTCCCGGAGGAAGGAGTTGAGGGTGGTGTCAGGGGCGTAGTCCGCCGCCTGCACCTCGTAGGGGAATCCATTCACATTGAACTTGATGCTCATCGCTGCAGAGTCGTCGGTCGAATGAATGGCTCTTTTGGCCAGGCGTTTCTATTTCAAAGCGCTGCTGAAACCTGATTACCCGTTAATTAGGCTAAACGGGTTCGAGCAGATTAAAGTGCCATCTAAAGCGAACACTGAGCGAAATCTTGCAGTTTGCTAATCTTTAGCATTTTATATTAAAAATGTAATGATGGGTAATTGCAAAAGCAGAAAGTAAGTAATAGAAATCAGGTTGGTTTTAAAATATCCAAGCAAAAAGTCTAGAAACGACTGAAAAAGTAAGAAAGTGAAAAATAATTATTGCAAAAAAATTATATATTTTTTAAAAGTCACGCAAGATTGATAAACCAATGATAAGATTGAATGACTTGATTTCTTTACCCATTAAATGTTTATAAGAATGCTCTGTAATGGAAAAGATATATCTTAAAAAGCGATTACACTCTAGAAAATAAATTGACTGCAACTTTTGATGGCCATCGAAGCCTAAAATATTTATTCATGTAAAGGATAAAAAACATAATACAAAAGATATACCAAAACGGTGTATAATAGATGCACAAAAAACCCACACCTTCGAATATTTACTTAAGCCTAAAGCTGGCTGCCTCGTGTCCAGCATTGACCACCATAGTTTCCGGGGTGGTGGGAGCTCCCAGTCGCACCCACTCCCGGGGAAGTCCCGCATCCTGGCGGGCGGATTCCAATGCCTGTCGCAAAGGCGAAGACCACACTGACGGCCAGACAGCAGGGCGGCTCTCCAGTGGCCTTCGATCGCATGAATCCCGCCCCCGTGGGATTGGGTTTCTGAATGAGTTCCACTCGGAAATCAATGGGTATATCCTTGGCACCCGGCGGCTTGTAGTTCCAGGTGCGATTGGTGAGCAGGCGACCACTCACTCGATCGTAAACCAACTGCTCACTCATCCAGTAGCCCAGACACATCACAAAGGCGCCCTCGATCTGTCCAATGTCTATATAGGGACTTAGGCTCTCCCCAGCATCCTCCAGGATGTCCACACGTTTAATCTGACTGTTTCCGGTCAGAACATCCAGCTCTATTTCGGTGAGGGCCATGCCATAAATATGATAGTTCTGCATGTCGCCCTCCTTGTAGTGATCCGAGGCGATCAGATTGATGGACTTGGCATAGGCTGCCCCCACGGTCTCCACCCAACTGGCATCCTTCTTCTTCACCGGCTCCAATCGGGTGTTCAATGTTTCGCAGGCCTTGCGCACCGCATAGCAGAGACTCTCACTTCCCACAGCTCCTCCGGTGACCATCGAGTTGGCTCCGTTGATGGTGTCCGAGGACTCAACCTTGATGAAGCTCAAATCGATGCCTAGGGTGTAGGCAGCCACTTGCGCCACCTTGGTGTTCATTCCTGTAAAGTAATTGGGGGATAAGCTATTAGGAACCAATTAAAGAAACCCTATCTTACCCTGTCCCATTTCAATGCCTCCATGGGAAATCACCACTGTGCCATCCACATGGTAAATAGCCACCGTAGCCGGGTACTGGCCAAAGTAGAAGATGGGATAGTCCATCACAGCCAGTCCAAGACCTCTTTTTGTCCACCGATTCTTGGCATTATGCGATTTCAATCTCCTGCTTTCGCTGCTGCGTACTCCCTGGACTTTAGGAACTCGGGAAGCAACTCGCTCATCTTATTGCTCGCTGGAATGTTGGCCAACCTCACTTCAGCCGGATCTTTCTGGACTTCAAATGCCACGTGCTCTATGATGTTCTCCATCATGGCAATACCTTCAACCGATCCCGGAGCACGACACCAAGTGGAACTGGGGGCATCGGTGAGCACCGCATTGCCATTGTTCTTGAAGTTCTCGCCACTCAGATCATAGCAATTAACGGCCGTGAAGGTGGAGTGACCCTCAATGGGACTCTCGTTGGGACTCCAGCCGGCGTCCTCATAGAAATCGTTCTTCAGGCCGACAATCTTCCCATTGGACTTTATGTGACACTGGTAGTCGGAGCGACAGGCCCACCGCTTGCCATTGCAGTCCATCATGGACTCCAGGGACTGGACGAAGCGAACCGGGCGACTCAGCTTGTGAGCAGCCAGGGAGGCGGCACAGGCCACCTGGTTGCCACGGGAGATCTTGGACCCATAGCCACCGCCCAATCGGCGAACCTGCAGCTGCACATCCTTCGCCTTCACCTGCAGCATGTGGGCGATCACCGCCTGGGTGTGATCCATCCACTGGGTGGCCGAGAAAACCTTGAGTCCATCCTCGAAGGGAATGGCCACCGTGGTCTGGGGCTCCATGGTAAAGTGATACTGCAGACCCATCTGGAAGATGCCCCTCACCTCTTTGTCAGGCTGATCCGAGAACTTTAGCTTCTTCGAATCCGATTTGGAGGAGGGCACAATGCGAGAAGGGTCGGGGGTTTCTGCTGCAAACACATCTCCCAAACTGGGCAGCAACTGGAAGTCGGGGCTGGGATTGCTGTAGCTGATCCTCACCAGCTTGGTGGCCCTTTGAGCCTGGTCAGCAGTGAGAGCCACAATCACTCCCGCCGGCTGTTCGGAGTGGCGCACCAATCCCGAGCAGAAAATCTCCTCCTCAACCTCGAAGCCAAAACTGGGCTCGCAGAAGGTATTCTTTCCGGGAATATCCTTCGCACTGTAGAAGGCCACCACTCCTGGTTGCTTCAATGCCTCCGATGCATCTATCTGGTCAATGGTGGCTCCCACTTTGGTGGCCCCTACAAAGGCGCAGTGGAGGGTGTTCGAAGTGGTTAGGACATCGTTCATGTAGGTGGCTTCTCCCGAGCACTGGATCATGCCCTCCACCTTTTCCACCGCCTGGGTGATGGGGTAGTTCTTCTTCTGGGTCTCGAAGACTTGCAAACCCGAGGAGAGTGGTCGCTGCAGAATCTCTCCTCCACTTCGATACTTCTCACCCACCTCCGCTGGGGGAGCGTGTTTCAGGAGGAACTTGTAGAACAAACCACAGGCCAACTTGGATCGATAGGCGGGACTGGCATCGGGAAGCACTTCATCGGGCTTAATCAGGTCCTCCAGTTTGGTGAAATGTCTGCTCTACTAGGTTAGATTCATAGGGATTCTGTCCTATCAACAATTTTTCAATGATAGAGGCATGGACAAAATCTGGTCGAATTCCACCGAAGCAAATTCGAGCAGACTTTACTTTTAAATCGCTTTCCAATTCAAGAAGAAAAGCAGCATTGACATAAGCATGGGCATTCTGGGCACGGGGCATTATCTGTAGAGGATCGTTATTTTATTAAATGTTATGTATAAAAGTTATTAACATATAACTTTACCTTGTAGGAGTCGTATATGTACCTATCCTTCGGGTACGCTGAAAGTATGAATGCTTTGAGCACCAGCTTCCTATCATTAGTGCTTAGATATTCCGACAGGGACATTTCCTTCTCTTCAGTAGCGTTCTTCGAGGCCACCACCTTTACATCCAAGGCTTCAAAGGATATAAAGATATCCGAAGGAAACTCGGGATGTTGCTTTTTAATGGAAATATTTCCAGCCAGAGTTCCAGACTGAAAAAGGTAATAGGATTAATGTTTGTATTTTAAATAACTAAAAGAAAACTCCTTACATTGCGCACTGGAACATTGGCAATCAAGTCGATATGATGCCACAGAACATCCAAATACTCAAAGCCTGATTGCGTGGAAGTAGTTTTCAAGATCTCCATGGTCTGGGTGAGACTTAAATTAGCTCCCAGCTTCAATCGCTGCCCCTCCAAGCTGTGCTGATGCAGTTCATCCACTCCGTGCACATCGATAAAGTGCTTGATTTCGGTGGATCTCCTGTAAACACCATGTGCTGTATTACCTCCAACCAGAATGAACTCCTCGGAGTCCTTGACCTTTTCCAGGGCCTTCAAAGAGTTCCGTCAGATTCTTGGGCCAGTGCCACTGGCTTCCATCATCATAGACCAAAGTGGTTGGATGGCAACTACCACTGCAGGCTTTTCCCGTCTTTGGGCAGTTTCTCGGCTGCAGATCCTCAATATCGCCGCACTCCTTTGGAACTTGAATAGTGCTATCCACGGCAAAGGACTTCATGGCATCCAAAATAGGACGATAGCCAGTGCAGCGACAGATGTTGCCTCCAAAGGAGTTCTCCACCTCCGACATGCTGACCTTGCCGTCGTTCTGCTCCAGCAGCCCGTACATATTCATCACGAATCCCGGCGAACAGAAGCCGCACTGTGTGCCATTCATCTTGGCCAGTCGCTTCTGGATGGGATTGTAGCCGGTGCGCTGGTTGCCCAATCCCTCGGCGGTCACGATCTCCAGCTGGGCACAGGTATTCAGCAGGGTAAGGCACTGCAAAGAAGTGAATCATTAGTGATCAGTTGGAGTGTTTGGTATCTTCTCAAACCGAATTGACTGCCCAGCTGCGCTTCCCATCGCGAACCACACAAATGCAGGCGCCACATCCTCCCTCCTGGCACATAAACTTGGTGGCCGTCAGTTGGGCATGCTCCCGAATGAAGGTGTTTAGGGTGATATCCGGCGGGAGATTGGTTAGATTCACTGTCGATGAGATGATAACAAGTTGTGAACAAAAAGTACACGTAATTAATTACAAAAACCTGTATTTCGAATCGTAAAAAACAATAAACAATGGGCATAACATTTGCACTCTAATTTGTTTACCAGATATTGGAGACCAAAATATATGTAATTCTGTTTAACTTTATTCGAGCAACTCTACCCCTTTATTTCGTGGATCTAGCGGAACTAATGATATATATGCTTTTGATATATGGTTTATCAGCAGACGCGTTACAACGTTCAATAAAGTTAAAGACCCTCTTTGGGAAAATTCTAGCAATAGAACTTTAGAGATAACTGATAAGTTAGGAAAACAAGCACTTGAAAAGTACTATATCTCTTTGAGTACTACACTGATTTTTACAGAACTGTTTTCTATCACCTTTAATCGATGCCAACCTTGATTAATTCCACTCACCTGCATACGGCAGCCCGTTGATAGTGAATTTCGTAGTCATTCTGCCAGTTTTCTTAACAATAACAGGGCAACAAAAACACAAATGTCAGCTGCTGTATTGTTTTCTATAAATAATTCAATTAGTTTAGTGCCTTTGGCCGAGGTTTTCCATTATTTTCCATTTGCTGCTCACTTTTTCACTCCGGTCGCTGCGACTGCCGTTGCTCAACTGATCGAAAAATCGCGTCTTTTGTTCGACTCTCCGTTTTTTAGATTGCGATTTTCTCGGCTGCCGTAAACAAACAAAAGTTAGTTTTCACACACAAACTCACATGAGCTAACAACGATTTTGAGTAGATTTTCAAGCTTGACGATCGACGTTAATTGCAGATTGCAGACTGGTTGCTCCTCGACTAAAAAAACACCGGCAGTCAAAAAAAAACAAGAAAGGTTTTTCTTTCAGCCGAAGTTTATATACCCTTGCAGGTAAAATATGGCCTATTTAAAATGTTGTTTTTAAATTTGTCAAAAATCAATACGCCTACTTTCTATAAATTTACAATTTGTTTTCTATTATATCTATGGTTTTTCCTATGGGAACAACATATGTACTACCTGTAATAGAAAGAAGACTTTTGGGAAATTTTCATCGCGATAGCTTTATATCTAAGAGATTAGTTCGCAAAGAAACGGACTGACGGGCAGACGGACATGGCTGCAAGGGTATAATAAAGAAGTGGGTAGTGTGTTCTGGAAACTATGTTTGTTATTTCACCATATGAAGCAAACGGATCCACTTGTTCAAGAATATATATACTTTATGTGGTCGGAAACGTCTCCTTTAGTGCGTTGCAAACAGGGTTATAAAAATGAAGTGGGTAGTGGGTTCTGGAAACTATGTTTGTTATTTCACCATGTGAGGCAAACGGATCCAATTGTTTGGTGCGATTTCCTCGCCGATCTCCGAGCGACTGTGAGCTAGGGCCATCCGGAGTCCCATTTATATTCGTTCTCGGGTTTCCCGATCCCCATAAAAGACTCAAGAGATTTCCGCCCAAGTTCAATTTCACCTGCTCCCGCTCTTAACTACCATGTTCTCCATTCCGCTCACTATTCGGCATTAGGTCATAACATGGAGGAACTATACAAGGTGATCTCGTCGCGAGAGCTGCCCTCTTTTGAGGACGTTATTTGTGTCAGTCTCCATCTAGCTATCTCATTTTATCGCCTAAGAGAGACAGAGAGGTAAACATATTTAACGTCCTCAGCAGAGCTAACGAGACCACCTTGTATAGTTCCACCATGGGTCATAATAGGACTGTTAAACGTTATCTCACGCCCGTTTAAAATTCCTCTCTCGAATCGGAGAGCTTTATCAGTAAACCGTTTGTTTAGACTATTTTACTCAGTTTTCTAAACAAAAAAATATGTTTATAATAATTTGGTTCGAAACGGAGGGAAAAGGGAGTTACTGAAATGGAGAGAGTTAAAAGCTTTTCTAGAATACTTGGAGAAGTTATGGTATTGATTATGGGTATGCTTATGTATAAAATAAAATCTTTTGAGTAAGCTCCAAACTAAAGAGTATTAGTAGTTTCATCCCGATAGCTTTAAATCTAAAAGACTAGTTCCCATAGGAAAGGACATGGCTAGTTGGACTTGGCTTTTGGTGCTGATCAAAAATATATACACATGTATATATGTATACTTGATGTGGTCGGAAACGTCTCCCTCACTGAGTTGCAAACTTTTGACTGAAATTAAAACACCCTCTGCAAGGGTATAAAAATAAAAAACTGCCGTCGTCGAATTTTGCTTGTTGCCTCACCATCCAATTCGTCGGCAAATTTTCGGCAGCTGCGAAGTAGTCACGATATCTGCAAAAATAGCTAAAATAAAGAAGGGGAAAAGAGGGCATATGGTGGGCATAAGAAAGCTTTGAGTACCCTAACATATTTCAAAATGCTCTATTTAAAAAAAAAAAAATTTTGTCTTATTTATAATTTGTTGCCTTTAATACTACTCATTTCTAGGGTATTCATAAAATCTGTGAAGTAAAAATTTATTACGCTGACTAAAAAAATAACTCTGAATAGTTGGGGCTTTGTTTTGATTACATAGGCTGATAATTTTGAATTTTTCGCTTTGTTCGCTGTTCTAATGACTATTCAAAATAGGCAGACTCGCTAATCAGCTTTTAATTTTTGTCAAACACCAGAAATGACAATAATAAACGGGCGAAACGAATCACGTGTAGACTAAAAATAAAAGAGAGTGCGAGAAAAAAAAGAGAATGAGTGAGCCGGCCGGCAAAAAATATTTCTTTTTTATATTTTTTTTCTCTCCCGTTCTCACAGCTTTCAAAACAAATAAATAATTTTAAAAGCTTTGCCTGTTAAATAACTTCAAGCAAAAACTAGATAAGGCAAGCTTTTGAATGATATTATTCACAAAGCACCACGCTTTCATGAATAAAATTAAGAACTTAAAGATGAAGAGTTGGAAGAGATATTAATATTAACATAAATGCTTTCTTCAGTTTTTTTTCAAAGAGTTTATTGGGGGTTATAACATACATGCATGGTTTTGGTAGATTATATTATAGTTATCATCCATAAGAACTTTCCCTATAACAGGGTTCTTGAAATATATCTATTTCAACTTGAACTCCGCGACTTGGTGACCGGCATTCAGCAACAAGGTCTCCGGAGTTGTGGGCGCCCCCAGGCGAAGCCATTCCCTTGGAAGTCCTGCATCCTGGCGTGCCGATTGCAGAGCCTGCTGTAAAGCGAATATCACGCTGACGGCCAAACAGCAAGGCGGTTCCCCAGTGGCTTTCGAACCCATGAATCCACCACTGCTGGGGCCGCGGATTGTGGACCAGTTCCACGCGGAAATCGATGGGTATATCCTTGGCGCCCAGTGGCTTGTAGTTCCAGGTGCGGTTGGTCAGCAGGCGACCATTGTCGCCCTCGTAGATGAGCAGCTCGCTGAGCCAGTAGCCAAGACCCATCACAAAGGCACCCTCCACCTGGCCCACGTCGATCCAGGGACTCAGGCTCTCGCCGGCATCTTCCAGGATGTCCACGCGTCGAATCAGGATATTCCCGGTCAGCACATCCATCTCCACCTCGGAGAGCGCGAGTCCCAGGACGTGGTAGTTCTGCATATCCCCCGTTTTGTAGTGATCCGAGGCAATCAGGTTGATCAGCTGGGCATTGGCCGCCTCCACGGTCTCCACCCATGAGGCCTTGGCCTTCTTCACGGGCTTCAAACGGGCGTTGAGGGTCTCGCAGATCTTGCGCACCGCATAGCAGACACTCTCGCTTCCGATGGCATAGCCGGTGACCATCGAGTTGGCTCCATTGATGGAGTCCGAGGACTCCACCTTTGACGTAGCTCAAGTCGATTCCGAGGGTATAGGCCGCCACCTGAGCTATCTTCGTGTTCATACCTGTGCGGTTATAAAGGGATCCCATAATTCATTTTATAAGAAATCCATAAGAAAACCCTTTTAACTCACCCTGACCCATTTCTATGCCCCCATGGGTGACCACCACAGTCCCATCCACATGGTAAATGGTCACTGTGGCCGGAAACTGACCAACGTAGATCACTGGGAAGTTCATCACAGACAAACCCAATCCTCTTTTCTTCCATCGATTAGTGGCATTAAAGGTATCTATCTCCTTTCTTCGTTCATAATACTCCCTTGACTTTAAGAATTCCGGGAGCACAGTGGCCATCTTACTCTTCTTGCTAATATTGGCCAGCCGGACTTCAGCTGGATCTTTCTGGATTTCAAATGCCACATGTTCAATGATATTCTCCATCATGGCAATGCCCTCCACGGATCCCGGGGCACGACACCAAGTGGAACTGGGGGCATCTGTGAGGACAGCATGACCACTCAGCTTGAAGTTACTATCGGTGAACTCATAGCAGTTGGCGGCTGTAAAAGTGGAGTGTCCTTGCACAGGACTCTCATTCGCGTTCCAGCCTGCGTCCTCGTAGAAATCGTTGGACAGACCAACGATCCTGCCATTGGTTTTGACATGACACTGGTACTCGGAGCGACAGGCCCACCGCTTGCCATTGCAGTCCATCATGGACTCCAGGGATTGGACGAAGCGAACCGGGCGATTCAACTTGTGAGCAGCCAAGGCGGCGGCACAGGCCACCTGGTTGCCCCGGGAGATCTTGCAGCCGTAGCCTCCTCCCAGTCGGCGGACCTGTAATGAAAGTTACTCAATGAATAGAGCCTAATTCATGCAAATAATCTTTATTACCTGCAGCTGAACATCCTTGGCTTTCAGTCCGAGAGTATGGGCAATTACCGACTGGGTTTGATCTATCCACTGGGTGGCCGAAAAGACCTTGAGCCCATCCTCAAAGGGAATGATCACCGTGGTCTGGGGCTCCATGGTGAAGTGATACTGCAGACCCATCTCGAAGATGCCCCTCACCTCCAAATCCGGTTTGTCGGAGAACTTGACTTGCTTTAACTTTGAAATTGCCAAAGGGCAAAATGCGAGAAGAATTTGGAGTTTCTGCAGCAAAGACATCCTTCAAACTCGGCATCAACTTGAAGTCGGAGCTGGGATTGCTGTAGCTGATCCTCACCAGTTTGGTGGCCCTTTGAGCCTGGTCAGCAGTGAGAGCCACAATCACTCCCACTGGTTGTTCGGAATGGCGCACCAATCCCGAGCAGAAGATCTCCTCCGCCTCGTAGCCAAAACTGGGCTCACAAAATGTGTTCGTTCCGGGAATATCCTTTGCAGTGTAAAAGGCCACCACCCCAGGATGCTGGAGAGCTTCCGTAGCATCGATCTGGTCAATGGTGGCTCCCACTTTGGTGGCCCCCACAAAGGCGCAGTAAGCCGAGTTGGCGGTGGTTAGGGTATCGTTCATGTAGGTGGCCTCTCCGGAGCACTGGATCATCCCCTCCAGCTTCTGCACCGCCTGGGTCACTGGGTAGGTTTGCTTCTGGGTCTGAAAGAGCTGCAAGCCTGAGGAAAGTGGCCGCTGAAGCAGCTCCCCTCCGCTCTTGAACTTCCCACTGACTTCTGAGTCGGGAGCGTGTTTCAGGAGGAACTTGTAGAGCAGTCCGCAGGCCAACTTGGATCGATAGGCGGGACTGGCATCAGGCAGAACGTCATCTGGTTTTACCAGGTTCTCTAGCTTACTAAATGTCTGCTCTATTAGATTCGATTCATAGGGACTATGGCCCACAATCAACTGTTCAATTTCGATGGCATGGGTAAAGTCCGGTCTAATTCCTCCAAAGCAAATGCGGGCTGACTTTACCTTGGAATCTGCATCTAATTCTAGAAGAAAGGCTGCGTTGACATAGGCATGGGCATTCTGGGCACGAGGCATGATCTGTAGAGAAATTAATACTGAGGATCTAAAATATTTAGAAGCTTTTGATAACATTTACCTTGTAGGAGTCGTAAATAAATTTATCCTTGGGATAGGAAGGCAATATAAAAGCCTTGAGCACCATTTTTCTATCGGTATCTCCCAGAAAGTCCTCCAAAGACATTTCCTTTTCGTCATTTTTGCCCTTCAAGGCAATGACCTTTGCATCCAAAGCTTCAAAGGATATAAAGATATCCGATGGAAATTCGGGATGTTGTTTCTTAGTGCAGATATTTCCCGCCAAAGTTCCTGACTAAAATGTAAAATATTAAAATATCCCTAAAAAACAAAAGTTTACATACATTTCGGACAGGAACATTGGCCACCAGATCAATGTGGTTACACAGGACTTCAAGATACTCAAAGCCAGATTGTTTAGAAGTATTTCTCAAGATTTCCATGGTCTCCGTCAAACTTAGATTAGCTCCCAGTGTTAGTTTCTCTCTATCAGAACTATACTGATGCAGATCCTCCACTGCTTTCACATCGATAAAGTGCTTGATATCGGGTGAACGCCTGTAAACACCATGAGCAGTGTTACCTCCAACCATCATAAACTCATCGGAGTCACCAATCTCGTCCAGCGCCTCGAACAACTCTGCCAGGTTATTGGGCCAGTACCACTGGGATCCGTCTTCGTAGATTAGTTTCGATTGCCGACAGCCACCTTTGCAGGGTTTTCCTGTCTTCTGACAATTTCGAGCCTTTAGGCTTAGAACCTCGATATCCCCGCACTCTTTTGGAACTTGAATATTGCTGTCCACGGCAAAGGACTTCATGGCATCCAAAATAGGACGATAGCCAGTGCAGCGGCAGATGTTTCCCCCAAAGGAGTTCTCCACCTCCTCCATGGTCACCCGGCCGCCATGCTGCTCCAGCAGCCCGTACATGTTCATCACGAATCCCGGCGAGCAAAAGCCGCACTGGGTGCCATTCATCTTGGCCAGTCGCTTCTGAATCGGATGGTAGCCACTCTGCTGGCTGCCCAGACCCTCGCAGGTAGTGATCTCCAGCTGGGTGCAGGTATTCAGCAGCTTGAGGCACTGAGAATCGATGGGTAGTTAGTGGTATGACTGAATGATCTGGCTGCTGCTGATTATGACCCACTGAATTCACTGTCCAGGTACTCTTGCCATCGCTAACTGCACAGCAACAGGCTCCACATCCTCCCTCCAGGCACATAAACTTCGTGGCCGTCAGTTGGGCATGCTCCCGGATAAAAGTATTCAGGGTAATGTCCGGCGGAAGGTCACTTAGGCTTACTATTTTGTTATAAGAAATAATTTCAAAGGATCTGTAAAATATCCTTTACTAATTCATACCCGTATACTGCCGCCCATTTATGGTAAATGTAGTAGACATTTTAATTTAAAACTGTATTTGATTTATTAAACAATTTTTGAGCTTTTCTCACCACCACGATCTCCACTCAACTGCTTAGTTTCTAGTTGAAAGCCTCCTAATATTGGATTTGTCCATCTAAACTCTAATTCAATATTTGCCTTTGTCAACCTCTAAATAAAGAGTAATTTGCTAAAAAATCGCTATAAATTGCATTTTCACGCTTTACTGATTTCATTCAGCTGAAAATGTTGACATTTTTCGCTTTTGTTGCGCTGCAATTTTCATTATTTGATATACCGATTAGCAGTGGAAACTGATTCCATTAGTTTATAAAGGCTTAAATTCATTGGTGATTGTATGGAAATTAAATTTGTAATTGGCCAGCATTTTAATCCCCAAACAGGCCTTAATGTTTTTCGTTATTGGCTCTTTTATCGCCTTTCGGATTTTGTATCTTGACGCGACTTAATTAATTAAATACGTGTTGCCTCCTCGTTGTTTCCTTTATTAACCGGGCCCCAAAAAAAACTGTCAACTCATTGGTAAATCATTTGTCAAAATATAAATCGATGTTTCCTTTCGGAGAACGGTCAGCCACGAAAAATGTTACATAATCATGCACAAAACATGCAGAACAAGAACCGAGAACCCAACAACAAAGCAGCCGTTCCGCCTTTGCACCTTATCGATATGCAGGAATCGTTTTCCAAACACAAAATAATAATCAGAACCGAACAGAAATGAGAGAAAAATGATGGGGAAACCTTAAACAAGTAAAATTAAAATATGAATAACGCAATCTTTTCTCACATGGCTAAGCATTTTGGTTATGGCAATCGGAGGCAACCCGCTGTCAAACAGGTAAGAAGAAGTCTTTGGGGGAAGGGGGTTTTCACTGACCCAGCCGCTCCTTGTTGTTGCCGTTGTTATTGGGGGAGTGTCCATTGTTGTTTCTTCTCTTTTTTTGGAGCTGTCATGCATAATAAAATTCCAATATATTCGACCGTACGCCTTCGCCCTGTCTTCGTTCTCGATTGCGGATCCTTATCAAACAAGAAAAGTGACGTGAGCACCTCCATCTCCCCATTCTCCAGCTCATTCTCAGTCTTCAGCTTCAGATCCAGAACCCAAACCTGGCCGGCAGTCGAGACATCCCCACACCCTGGCCAAGTGTTGGGCCTTATTGGCCAACGGCCATTTGATGCCCAGCAATGCGGCACGGATGATGACACTGACCCACTGATAGTCGGCCAGGCCGGGATACCGGGGCCAAGCCCAGGTCAGGAAGGCAAGGTGAGACTACCATCCCATAAATATGCCAGCTCGAAATGTTCGCTCGCCTCGGGGCCTCGAGATTAGCCAAAGTTTCGTAGGGAAACTTTTCGCACAGAGATAGTGAAAGAAAAAGTGAATAGATGAAGTCTAAAGTTGGGGAACTTCATTCTGGCCATCATAAAGTATAGGAATACCCATGGGTCAAATCTGTGAGATACTAGGGAATAAATAGTTGTGATGATAGTAGAAAGAGGGCTTATGATGAGGCAATACTTTAATATATATGTATACACACAAAAAAAAAGCCTGTTCCCGAAAAATCGATATGGCCATGTAAATTTTAGGTCATGCAAAAGCAGGTCGACCAGGTCAAATTTACCTGGCCGCATATTAAATCAAAATTGATCTTAAATAATGTAAAATCGATCTACGTTTTATATCGTTCTTTTTTGGGTGTATTTATACCTCTTTAATGATGATTATATAACGAAAATAATTTTCAATATTATTCCTGTACTTACGTACTTATTTATTAACCAGAACTAGGCTTTCCATCATCCCCAACCCTACAAATATCGGGCAGCCAGCCAACCAGCATTATTTTGTTAAATTCTCGCTTTGGCAGGGGCGACAGAAATAAATGGGTAACTACTCCATGGTGACACTGTTAACCCTTTGTCACTTCCATTGACAGTTCAATAATGCGTCATTTGGTGTGTGTGTCAGGGTTGTGGAGATGGGACTTTACGAGTTCCCTCCCCCCTCCTTTTCCCCTTCCTTTTCCCCTTCCTTTCCAAGGAGTGAGAGACGGGGAGAAGTGTCACATCAAACTGGACAAAAGAAAGACTGGAAATTGCCAGCAGGTATCAAGAATCCTCAGCTGGAGAGGAGATAGGGTAAAGCCGGGTTTATTGGGGAGCTTAGGATGAAATTGGAAAAGATTAAGTGCAAGTTGTTTCGAAATATTGTAGCCTGTGTTGATGTATTATTTAATGTGTCCTTAATTTAATGGTGGTGCTTTATAGGGGTAGTGATACTAATGATGAACCAGTTTAAGTTTCCATTTCCCTTTTCAATGTAAGATACTAAAGTATAGTAGTAAGTACAATATAAAATAATTAAATACCAATTCTGATTGAGTTAGGATTGGTTTATAAAATAGTTCTAAAGATATGTAAGTCCATCCTTTTTATTATGATAGTTCTTTCAGTGCTGTAAGTAAGAGTATTCAAGCTCCTTTGCTCCAGTCAAAATATTTCCGTGTTTGTGTGGTCTGAGGATATCTCCTTCTATCTCCTTGGCTTTCATTGGCTTGTTGGCTCGAGCGGCGGCTCAAAATTGCGGACCTTCTCGCTGGCGAGTCTCTTGTCGCCTGTCGGATGTCACATTAAATTCGCATTATTTGCTTGAAATAATTTCGCGTTTATCGTTTTGGGCCAGCTTCCTCGGTCGAAGGCGCTTTTTAATGACTTTTGCTGCATTGGCTGGCAGCTTCTTTATGGGCCGTGTGATAAATGATTGCACTCGGGATAAGTTTGTGTGCCCAAAATGCCATTTAATTGATTCATCAGCGCTTCATTATTGATTAGCAGTGGTTTTGAAGCCACCCAGGTGCAAATGGGATCGGTTTGTGTTGGAAAAACGGGGTTGGACTGCCGCACTGCACCTGCCAAACTACTAACTCGCCCAAAAACTGTCGTCGAACTCATTTGCGGCAGACAAATGGAAATTAAAACACTATTTAACATTTCTATTTTACGAGTTCGGAGGAAAGCACATAAAAACTCTTTAAACGGAACCCTCGCCCTTCTATTGGCGACAAATAAACAAATAACGAATTTTATATTTAACTGAAATGAGCTTTGCAGCCCAACAAAGCAGACAGCGGAAACCTAATTGAAAGAAGCCACGCAAATTGAGTTAACCAAGCGGAAAACCAGGCCATTAAATTTCAACTCGGAGGGAGTGGGAGTTGCTGGGCTTCCATGGACTTGGTTATGGAATCGGAATTGGAAGTGGAATTGGTATTGGAACTGGACCTGGAGCAGAGGGAACTCCACTTCTTTTCGATCCGCTTCGATTCGATTCTCGAATCGTTTCAATTCCATTCGATTTATGGCATTCGCAATTGTGCGGCAATTTAATAGCAATTTGCTGTTGAACCCGAAAATTGACGAAACTTTGATGAAATGCAATTGGAAACTTGTCACGGCTCCACTGACTCTGCCCTCTGCACTCTGCACTCCCTTCCGTCCGAATTGTAACAATGGCAACAACGGCGACAATAACAATAACGAACTATATCGATCAGAAATCGAGAGTTGAGTGGGCTCAGTTTTATGACAGGGGCAGATGTCATTAATTTTCACCAGGAGTTGGTCAAAGATAGAAAAATTCCTCTCTAACTTAGATTAAATATAAAAATCCTACATCTTACTCAAAATTTTAAGATTGTCCATTTAAGATTGAAAAAGGTAAAACTTGTTAGTCCTTATCTAAGTCTTATTTTAATATAGTTGTCCCCCGTTAACTGGCTCATTTTCGGCTCTTATTTGATTTGTGCCTTTTTATGTCTGGGCCTACACAAATATTCATTTTTTTGCACAACTTGGCAAGGCGCCTACCTAGCAGATAAAACGCCAGATAACTCGGCCGACGACGAACAGCAAAACATTAAGATACAAAGATAATATAAAACAAGACGGACGCTAATCGAAATTATTGGAGTCGCAGTTCAGATACTCTTATATTATATGAAGAAGAGACAAGTATATACGAATTCAAAAGGGAAATGCTGCTTTAATTTCAAAACCCATCTCAGTACAACCCTATTTCTTGGTTTATTATTTATGCATAAGAAGAGTACTTTCATGTCATAAGCCATATATGTCTATTCTGACCCTCGTTTAACCTCCGGTTAGGGTATCAGGTGGATGAGACAGGGATGCACATAAAAAGTAGGCGCGATAAATTATTAAGTGACTGTGACGGGATGACTCCTGCTCCTTCCATCTTCCTGCTCCTCCTCTGGCAGTCATCCTCCTGTGGTGTGGAGTTTGTCACCCGAACAAGCCGTCCTTATCTTCGGATGACGGGCGTTATTTCTGTTTGGCTTTTATTTTTATTTTATTTATTTCGGCTGGTTACTCCACTGCCTTCCCTCTGCTTCTCTGGTTAACTGTGGGAGCCAACAACTTAATTTGTGATTTATTTTTCGCCGTTGTTTTTGCGCCGACGAATAGTTGCCTGAGATTTATGCTGCCCGCTGTGGAGTTGCTTAATTTATAAAATGAGAAAAAAATTAACTGACGCTGATAATAAATCAATTTCCTGCCTACACATTAAATTATACAGTTAATAATAAGCCAGGCCGGCATGGACCGGGCCCACGTCTGGAGTTGGCTCCCCAGTCTCGATCTTCAGCCTCCTTTCCAGTCTCCGTTCCAGTCTCACTCCTTATCTCGCAAATCCATTTGCATCTCATCAAGTTTTGGCTTAACACTCGGCTCGAGTCGCCCGATTGGCCTGACTGGCGATTCGGTTTCCGTGGATTGCGTGTCTTCGCCAATTTGTTGGCAGATTAAACAAATTTCCTGCCAACGGCCACGCAATTTGTTCCTATAAACTCGTACTGGAGAACCACAGGTGAGGACTCTCTAGTTTTAGTTAAATGTTTACTTATTATAATCTGTTATTGGGAATAACTAAATCAGGGGAGCTCAACCCATAACAATTGAATGGTC